AGCCGCCCTGAAGGAGGCTGCCCATGCCTGGCCCTGCGCAGCGTGGAGCGGTGGCAGCAGACAGAGGTTTACTGATGATCGGCCAGACAAGTGACACAGAGACATCCTACCCGCCACCCCTCGCCCATGTGCCTATCAGGCGATAGCGGTGGCAGGCCTCTGGGGTCATGTGATGCTGAGTTCATGTCCCTCCTCTGCCGCTCCCTGGCTACCTGCTTTGAGGGTGTAACTTCTCTAAGCCTCAATTTCTGCTTTTGGGAAGTGGTGATGAGCTACAGGGAGGGCAGGTGACAACAGGGGTGGGGTGGACAGACCACGGAACAGCAGCCTTGGAGCCATTCCTCTGACTGGATGCCACAAGCTACCGGGGAGGAAGAAAAGGGCTCTGTGGGACACATGGGTGAGACCCAATCTGCCATCTGCACTCTGGGTGGCAAGTGACTTGCTTCCCTAACTGTTCATGGGAGAATGGCATCAAATTGGCAGTGAGGCTTTCTGGTTGAAATTCCTGGGTTACTCACACTCAGACTATGCTGGGTCCTCCTCCGTGTAGCCCTGGTTATTAGTCAAGAGGATGTGTGTGGTCTCTCATCTACTACAAGGAACCTGGGGACTCCTGGGGATACCAGGCTGGTGGTCAAAGCCTCAGCTGATGAGACTGGAAGCTGACTTCAGGGTCTTCAGGTGGGATAGAGACCTGGCAAGCAGGTGACCTGAGGAGTGGGTGTGTGCTGTGCTCTCAGTATATGAGTGTGCAGAGGGGGAAAAGTGTCCTGGGAAAGGGAGGTGCGGGCTCCTGTGCGTGCAGGCTGGCAGGGACACTAACACTCACAAGACTTTGCCCCACACACCTCAGCTACTTTAGCCGGGGAGACCTTCCCCTCGTAGGGGCATCCAAGGGCACAGGAGACATACCTGTGGAAAAATGGGAGGAACGGTATCAGTGCCCCCAGCTCACCGGCCATCAGGAATGGCTGGTAACCACCTGACACACATCCCTGGTGAGCCCACAGTAAACAAGCAGCTGGGCGGGAGGCCCAGTACTGGGTGAAAGGTAAGCTCTGAGTGGGAGAGAGGCTCTTTGGCCTAGTTTCCGGGCGGGAGCACTAGAGAAGCCTGCAGGAAAGGTGGAGCTAAGAGGCCAGTTCTGGAAGCAGGGTTGCAGGTGGCTGAGAATTCACAATAGGTCTAAGGAACTAGAGTGCACCTGAGCTGTCTGGAAGGGTGGCCCCATGCACTGGGGGAGATGCGCCAGGATTCAGGTCATACGCTGACACAGGTCAGCACAAGAACGGATGTGAGTCAGTAGCAAGGCTCGAGGGCCCGACAGCTCAGCCAATCATTTATTCAGTTGATGTTTCCTGAGATGAGGATGATGCCAGGCACTAGGCAGAGCAGTGAGAGGACCCATGAATGGGCCCTAGCCTCCAGGAATATGCAAGTAAAACCGTGCTCACAATAGGAGGGGAGATAATTCCAGAAAGAGGTGAGCTGTGAAGGCAGCAGCAACAGGAGGAAGCACAGGCAGCCAGTGTAGCAAGGGTGGATTAGGCAGACCTCCTTGAGGCCATGGTGCCAGAGTTAGAGAGGGGAGGGTCTTCCGGGAAGCGTGTTATAGTCAAGGCCAGAAGCTGGCATGCCCAGACAGAGAGAGCAAGGGACAGAACATCTAACTAATGCAGGGGGAGAGTCAGGGACAAAGAAGGATGACAGGAGGGGAGCCCAGGCCTGACCCGTGACAGTCTTATGGGCCATAGATGCTCTCACCACCCTGCTAGCACTGGGGCATCTTTTACAGAGTTAGGCTGACGGTGGTGGTTCAAGGCTGTACTCCTAGCACCTGGGAGGCTGAGGCAGGAGGATCGCCAGCCTTGGTGACATAATGAGTTCCAGGCCAACATGAACCTAGAGTGAGACGCTGTCAGAACAACCAAACCAAACCAAAAACCCAAACCCTGCATGCTCAAGGGAAATATTCTATATATTAAGAGATGGAGACAGGAGTGGTGGCGCACACCTTTAATCCCAATACTTAAGAGGCAGAGGTAGGGCGGATCTCTGTAAGTTCCAAGCCAGCCAGGGTTACATAGAAAGATCCTGTCTCAATAAATAGTTAGATAAATAAGTGTATAAGTCAAGATAAAAAGAGATGGAGTAATGTTTGCTGAATCAACATCCCAAAAATCTTGGTGTGCTTTCCACCTGAACTTTCCCATTCACCCTGTAAACATTGCTAAACAAGTCAAAGTGGTGTGGTGGCACATACATTTGAGCCCAGCACTCGGGAGGCAGAGACAGGCAGAACTCTGTGAGTTCGAGGCCAGCCTGGTGTACAGGGTGAGTTCCAGGACAGCCAGGGCTACATAGTGAAGCCGTGTCTCAAAACAAACAAACAAAAAAGAAAAAAAGAAAAGGAAAGGAAAGGGAGAAAAAGTTAAAAGATTTACCAAGACAGAGCACAGGCCTGGGGGTAATGACTGGAGACCCAGCTTCCCGCCTCCCACCTGCTTACCAGGCTGTAAGCACCTTCTGTGTACCGGGCCCTGCTATGGGAAAGCACAGCACCCCGGAGCTGTGGGAAGTGGCCTGCCCTGAGAGAGAGCACAGCCTAGCATGGTGAGGGCTGAGGAGCTACACAGCTAAGTGCCATGTTTCGGGACACCATAAGACTTTGGAATCCCAAGCAGAGGTGCTGTCTCCTGCTGAGGGACAAAGAAAACTCAGAGGAGCTGACACTCACTGAGTACCCCGCAGGGCTGAGAAGCAGAGTGGAAGAGGAAGCGAGCTGCCCATGGCGGTTGAGTACACAGGCCTGGAGACAAGAGGCAGAGGGCACGGGGCAGATGGAGAGAAGCTCCACAGGGGCCAGAAGAGAGCCGTGGACTACCGTGTGTGCTAGAGTGGCAAGGATGCCATACACATGGTCCTGAAAAGCACAGTGAAAGCCTTCACTCGCTGTGCATACTCTCAGGAGCAGAGTACTTGCCTAGCATCCTACAAGGCTCCATCAGTGACAGGGTTTCTCTGTGTAGAACTCACTCTGGAGACCAGGCTGGCCTCAAACTCCGGGATCCGCCTGCCTCTGCCTCTGCCTCCTGAGTACTGGGATTAAAGGCGTGTGCCACCACTGCCCAGCCCTAGCACTGCACTTTTGTTGTTGATGTTTTTGTGTTCTGAGACGTGTTTATGTACTACCAGGTCCCGAGTCACTGTAAGAATCAAATTCTGGAGCTGGGCATGGTGATGTATGCCATCCCAGCACTTGCGGCAGAGACAGGTGAATGTCTGTGAGTTCCAGGCTGGCCTGATCTGTACTTGGTCAGTTACCAAATTTAGGTCTGAGAGAAACCCCGGTTAATCTGACTCTGTTCACTTGAGTTGCTCCCACCCAGCAGGAGACAGAGGTGGAGAGACTAGAGGGTGAGGGAATCTGACTCCATTCTACAAGGGCGCTGAGGAAAGAGCCCCATGAGGCCTGACTCACCCTCTCACAGGGATGCTGGCGGCCTGTGCGGCCTGCATGATTCCATCAAAGCGCTGGAAACTCTCGTCTATGGAGCAGTTCACATTCTTCCTGGTGAAGAGCTCAGAGGCCGCCCCAAAGATGCTTACTTCCTTGGCACCTGCAGATACCTGCCAACAGCCAGGGGAAAACCTTTAGCACTTTGCTCCGGGAGGAACTGGTCCAGTGGCAAAATCTTTCTTGTGGCAAGTTTTATGGAATGTGACTGTTACAGGTTGAACAGTCATATAAATATCCCTTAGGAAATATGTTGGGGCCATCGAGATGGCTCAGTAGGTAAAAGGCATGTGCTATCAATCCTGATGACCCAAGTTCAATTCCCCAGGACCCACATGGTAGGAGGAGAGAATCAAGTCACTCAACTGACCCCCATACATGGCCACTGCACACACACACTACAGTTAACAATAACAAACAAATATGTGGATATTCTAATCCCTAGTTCCCCAGAACGTGACCTTACTTGGGAACAGAGTCATTACAAATGTAATTAGATAAAATAAGGTCACAACAGAGCAGGAGGCCCTAATCCAGAATGACTGGTGTCCTTATTAAAGGATGGCGTGTGAAGACACTGAAATGTGGAAGGTGACCTGGGGGTAGAGGCAGGCAATGGAGTGAGACACGGGCAAACCAAGCAATACCAAGGCTAACCGGTCATCCCAGTCACTAGAAGACGCATGGGACAGGCTCTCGTGACCTCCTGACCCCTGGAATGTGAGACAGTAAAGTGATTTCTGTTGCAGTTTGCAGCTTTTTCTCACAGCAGCCCTAGCAAATTTACAGCACTTAGAAAACAAAACAAAAACAAGGCTGGGGATGTAGCTCAGGGCTGCAGCATTTCCTAGTGAGTGGGAGGCGCTTGATTCGAACCCTCGCACCTGGAGATACCAAAAACCTGAAGTCTGGGCTGGAGAGATGGCTCAGAGGTTAAGAGCACTGGCAGCTCTTCCAAAAGTCCTGAGTTCAATTCCCAGCAACCACATGGTGGCTCACAACCATCTGTAATGAGATCTGGTGCCCTCTTCTGGTGTGCAGGCATATATGCATACAGAATGCTGCATATATAATAAATAAATAAATTAAAAAAAAACCAAAAACCTAAAGCCTGATTCCCCCCAAGGAAATCAACACTGCCACCATCAACCTGGGGCAGGGGTCACTCTAGAAATAAGTTTATGACCAATCACACAATCAGCATTTCCAGACACTGTTTTGGACATTACAAGTAGCAGGTGTTTAGCAGCCACTGCAGAAGCTCCCATGTGTAGTGTTGTTACCTTTCCCTAAAGACGTGAGTGACAGCCAGGTGTTGGTGGCACACGCCTTTAATCCCAGCACTCGGGAGACAGAGGCAGGTGGATCTCTGTGAGTTTGAGACCAGCCTGGTCTACAAGAGCTAGTTCCAGGACAGTCTCCAAAGCCACAAAGAAACCCTGTCTCGAAAAACAAAAACAAAAAACAAAACAAAAAAAAAGTGCTTGCTGTTCTTAACACAGGACCTGGGTTTGATTCTCAGCATCCATATGGCCTTTAACAACTGTCTATAATTCCAGTTCCAAAGGATCTTATGCCCTCTTCTGGTCTCTTCAGGTACTGCATGCACATGGTACACAGACCTTCAGGCAAAACACCAGAACATATAAAATAATGAAAAAAGTGGGTGATCCCAGGACATAATGGTTTTAGGAAACACGTGCCTCTCTGGCTCTTGCTGAGCACTGACTGGCGGGTGCATCAATATGTATTCTATTTCCCTAATCGGCTCAGCTGTAAGAACCATCATCAGTCCTAGTTCATGGGCAGACCTGAAGCTCAGAGGTGAAGCAATTTGTCAAGACAACAGAGCAGTGAGTGACAGGGCTGGACCACTTTCTCCCAACCACCAATCGGATGCTGCTCATGGCCACTGGAGACAAGCTGTTCAGAGGGACATCCCAGGACAGGACCGGAAGACAAGGCAGGGACTGATACTGTCCATCTCTTACCGCTTCCTGGAAGCCTTTCATATTTGGAGTCAGGACTGGATAGTTGATGCCAGGAAACTTCTGAATGCCCTTCAAGACTTCAGAGTGGTCAGCCATCTGGGAGCCAAAGAAGCCAAGAGCTGAGCGGTAAAGAAAACCTTCTCACCACTGAATCTTTTGTCTCCAATGCTTCCCTTATCTGTCTGACCATTCAGGGGTCAGGAGACACCCTGAGCATCATGACCTTGGCAGCTCCTATGGCCAGTACTGCCAGCTCTGCAGTCATATCCAAAAGGCAGCCACTCACTAAGAACCTTCTCTGATGGGCCCTGGGTGCTGCTCCCTCTGCAATGCCTGGCACTCACTGTCATGGGATGGTTTGTCCACCCCTGTGAAGCAACAGTCCTTGCTCTCCCATTTACAAACACATGCTGCAGATGGCCATGGGGATCCTATACTCTCGGAGCTAGGAGAGACCTCAGAGGCCACCTCTACCCTGAGAGGGCAGAGGCCTCACTTAGCAAGGGCTCCAATAAAAAGGGCAGAGCCCGGACTGAGTGGGAGCCCCTGGCTGCGAGGTCATGCCCTTCCTGTGCTACAGTGCTGAGACTCACCTGAGACCCTTCAAGCCTGTGACCTGGAAACCGACACTTCCAATGTCCAGTGGTTGCAAGGGCAAATGGTGGGCTTCCCACCCTCCCATCTGGGACAGGTTTCTTCTGGAGGCTGAGCTCACCTGGGGAACCCACTTTGGAGAGACAAAGCTGGTGGCTTCAATAACAGGGAGCCCTGCTTCGGAAAGCATGTCTATCAGCTTGATCTTCACCGGGGTAGGCACAATGTTCTGTAACAGACAGAAACCCAGAAAAGGCAAGTCAGCAACATCAGTACCAAAACACGGGCCGACAGTCAGAACCTCAGCCTCAAGCTTGCACTGTGCTAGCTCCTCACTGTGGTGCCCTCAGACACTCACGTGAACTCACACTCGGTCTCCAAGTTCTACCAGTTGGTCCCCTGGCAACAGATGGCTGCTCACCTGAGGCGTTCGTATTTGTGTAGAAGCACTATTTTCCTTGGATGCAGGCAGACTCCTCCTTAACTCAGTGTGTAGGTTTATGACCCCATCAGAAACTGAGAGCCATGTGCCTTGGCCAGGGTGGGCAGAGATGCATCACCACTGCTCCCCGAGTGCTGTGGGATAGACCCCCCAACATCACACCCAGTCCTTTCCTCTCTCACAGCTTCTTTTTCGTCTTTCCCCACACTGAGTCACTCACCAGGGCCCACGGGTTCCTTTCTCATCCACCCTCAAGATCCCAGGTGTATTATGGCATGGTCTTCCTCAGTCAACTAATCCTATACTGAAAACTTCCTCAACCGCAGTCTCCATTGCCTTACTTTCTTACCCAAAAGCTCTCCACAGGAGCTGGACAGATGGCTCAGCAATAAAGGACCCAAAGGACCCATTAACTTCAGCTCCAGGGGATCTGATGCCCCCTTCTGGCCTCTGTGGGCACTGTATGCAGGCGGCAGGTATACACACACATATACATAAAAATAAAAATAAACCTTATGCTGGGTGGTAGTAGTGGCACAAATAACAACAACAACAAAAAAAAACCTTAGCCAGGCGTTGGTGGCACATGCCTTTAATCCCAGCACTTTGGGAGGCAGAGGCAGGTGGATTTCTGTGAGTTTGAGGCCAGCCTGGTCTACAGGGTAAGTGCCAGGACAGCCTCCAAAGCTACACACAGAAACCCTGTCTTGAAAAACAAAACAAATAATAAATAAATAAATAAATAAATAAATAAATAAAACTTAGCTAGGCAGTGGTGGCACATGCCTTTAATTCCAGCACTTGGGGGGCAGAGGCAGGAGGATCTCTGAGTTTGAGACCAGCTTGGTCTACAAGAGCTAGTTCAGGACAGGCTCCCAAACTATATAAGGAAACCTTGTCTCAGAAAAACTAAAAAAATAAAAAACTTAAAAAAGTAAAAATAAAAAAGCATTTCATAGCTCCTTGGTGTCAGCCAGTAGGATTATGTTACAAGTCCTAGCAATTCCAGGCCTGCCACCATCATCCCTGGTTGTAAGCCACCATATGGGCACTGGGAATTGAACTCGGGTTCTCTGAGCAGGAAGCAGCCTTAACCCCTGGTCATGTCTCCAGCCTCCTCACAAGCCACATTCGAAGTGGCAGGCACAGAACACTTACACTTTTAAGGATGTTTATGTCCTTCTTAATAAACACTTCCACACACACCTAGGCTTCTTCTATTTCATCCTCACAGGAGTAAAGCTGAACATATATCCTGTTTTGCAGTCTGGAGTCACTTAATATACTTGTATCAACCTGGCAGTGGTGGCCCACACCTTTGATCCCAGCACTTGGAAGGCAGAGGCAGGTGGATCTTTGTGAGCCTGGTCTACAGAGCAAGTTCCAGGCCAGCCAGAGCTATTACAAATCCTGTCTTGAAAGACAAACAATAGCTGCAAAATATTCCAGTTTATCCAACTTCCCACGCTCAAAACAGATGTGTGAATCATCTTTTCTGAACCGGCTTCCATATTTACCTTTTCATTTTGCAGACCATCTCGGGGACCAACTTCCACAATCTTCACCCGCTTGGGGAAAGTGCCCATGGAGGAGGTGCTAACCTGTGGTTTAAAAGAGGAAACACAAGTTAGCAACAGGGTTACACAGAGAACAAGGGGCTTCCTTCCCTACTGCAAACAGCCAGATTTCTCTCTTAACTCCACCTGGTCTCTTTCAGGATGAAGACAAAAAATAAATAGCTTTGGAGGCTGTCCTGGCACTCACCCTGCTTTGGGCAGGAATGAGCAAGAAAGACAGCTTCCAGGCAGGCTCTCCTCTGGTCCAGACCCACTTCTCACTGCCCATTTGACAGCACCATCTGCCCATTTCTCATTCAGCAGCCCCCAACCCTGCACTGTACAAACACTTGACTCCACCCTGTCTATTTCTGCAAAAGGTATCAGGGGCACCCTGATGCTCAGCTGGGACCTTACTCACCCCTGCCTAGAGTCATCCTGCCTTGGAGGCTCTACAGAGTTTGGCTGGCTGACCTCATTACTCACCCCTACTGCTACTCTCTAGTCTTCTACTCTCTGCCCAACAAACTGCTATGCTCCAGTTCGTCAGGGCTGCCCTCTGCTCAACTCTTCTTACACCCACTAATTATTAGTCAGAGAGCCTCCCTCTGACTGGCCTTTGAAAAGCTACTATTCCATCACCTTTGGTGCTTTGTATTTCCCAAGATTACAATGATTTCCTTCTATAGAACTGGGAGATCTTGTGTCTCTCTGCCCCCATCTCATCCTGACTGACACTGTCCTGGCAATGCACTCAACAACACTACAGGAACAACACATAATGCACAAAGGGCACAGCTGTCCAGAGGAGGGCAATCACTGAGCAGGAGAACTTAGTCTCAGATCCCACAGTGGTGATGAGGATGCGAAGAAAGGCTTTGCTATGTTAAGACTTGTCTAAAGCCTAATTCCAGGCTGATGGGTGACATGAGGGACAGTGGGTCTGAGGAGATGACATCCCCAGCAGATGAAGTCTACATTTGGGTATTCTGTCTGCACGTACAGCTATACACCACATGTGTGCAGTGTCCTCATAAGCCAGAAGAAGGTGTCAGATCCCTTAAGACTGGAGTCACAAATGGTTGTGAGCCACCAGGTCAGTTCTAGAGATCAAGGCTGGGTCCTCTAGAAGGGCAGCAATCACTCTAATCTGCTGAGCCACCGCCTCTCCAGTCCTTCCCCCACCCCCAAATAAACACACTGCAATGGGGCTAAGGGAAAAGCGTACTGCACAATATACCAAGGACTCCAAGTCCATGAAGTCCTTAAGGAAGGACATATTCCCTGCCACGAATCAGCTGGAACTAAGGTAAGGGGAAAAGGCCCTGAATTACAAGAAGTCTCCCTCCAGCACAGACTGTCTGCCTCTGTTGGTGCATCACCCTGAAACGACTCCAGTAGAGTTTAAATGTCATGGACCAGGAATTTCATTCTATGCATTGCTCTTCCCAACACTCTGGGGCATTAAATAGAGTAAGCACATGCTGAAGCAAAAGCTGCTTCCAATTTTCTTTTGGAACAAGTTGAACTTAGTTCTATTTCTTTCCCTACAACAGCTCTTCATATAACAATTCAGGCCAGGTGTGGTGGCTCACACCCCAATCCCAGTACTTGGGAGGTGGAGGAAGGAGGACCAGAAACTCAAGGTCATCTTCAACTACATAGCAAACTTGAGGCCAGACTGAGATATGTAAGATCTTATATTTAAAACATCCCCAGGGGCTGAAGAGATGGCTGGGCCATTAAGAGTGCATACTGCTCCTCCAGAAGACCTGAGTTGGGTTTCCAAACACATGTCAGATAGGTCACAAATGCCTGTAAGTCTAGCTTCAAGGACCCTGCTACTCTCTTCTGGCATCCATGGGCATCTGCACATGCGCACAGACACAGACAGACACGGACACACACAGACACACACACACACACACACACACACACACACACACACACAGAGGCTGGCACACAAGCATTTATATACTTCAAAACTATGTAAATGGGACTGGAGAGATGGCTCAACGGTTAAGAGCATTTTATGCTCTTTCTGAGTTCAGATCCCAGCACCCAAGCCAACTGCCTGTAATTCCAGCTGGCCTCCAAAGGCACCGGAACACACATGGTACATACTTAACACAGACATGCACACAAAATAAATCAATAATAAAAAAACAAAACAAGAGGCTGGAGAGATGGCTCGTTGGTTAAGAGCACTCACTGGCTGCTGCTCTTCCAGAGGACCTGGGTTCAATTCCCAGCACCTACATCTGGTTCTGGGGGATCCAACACCCTCACACAGACAAAACATCAATGCACATGAAATGAAATTAAATAAAGGCAAAAACAGAAACCTGGGTTGGCAAGAATTAAGATGCTTGCTGCTAAGCCTCACAGCCTGAGTTCCACCCCTGGAGCCCACACAGTAGGACAAAACTGACCCAGAAAGCCGGCTGGCCTTTGGACTTTCACTCGGGCAAACTCACATGTAAACAAATGAATAAATGTAATTAAAAACCAAATAAAAGTGAAAAGTGACAGCTTGGGCATTTGCTATAAAGGATCATTTCATTATACCAGGGTTTTTTTTTTTTTTTTTTTTTTTTTAAGTTTTTCTGGACAGGGTTTTTCTGCAAGGTCCGACTGTCCTGGAACTCACTCTGTAGACTACTCTGGCCTGGAACTCACAAAGATCTGCCTGCCTCAGCCTCCCGAGTGTTGAGATTAAAAGCGAGTGCCATCACCGCCCAGCTACACCAAGTTTTTAAAAAATGATTATGATCTAGCTGGGCATGGTGGTGCATGCCTGTAATCTAGAGGCAGAGGCAGGTTAATCTCTATGAGTTCGAAACCAGCCTGGTCTACATAATGAGCTCCAAGACAGCCACAACTAATAAAAAGAGACTCTACCTCAAGTAAATAAAATATCATTATCCACCATCTCATTTAATTTTCTTAATTCTTGTTAAGTTGGAGTTGGCATTTTTATTTGATCCCTGAGCAATCGGTGTAGTTGGATAGACTAACGATACAGAAGAGGTTTTATGAGAGACCCACGAGCTACCAAGAAAGTAGTTTTCCCAAGTACCGATATAATGCCTAAACTCTCCAACTTTAATCTTAATAACCCGGTCACTGAGCTGAGGGGAGCTGATCTCCACAAAGCGCAGCTCCACCAAAGCACCACCAATGTGCAATCACTCACCACCTCACCCTGAGACAAGCTCTCCATTCTGTGCACAAGCCAGCTAATGAGCCTCTCGGTCCCCCGCCTTGACAGTGATAAGCTCATCCGGTCGCCGGTGTGCGCCTGAGCCAGCACAGTTCTTTGGCCCTTTCCCTCCCCTCCCTGCGCGTGGGAGAGGACGGAACACCAGCACCGAACAGGCCCAAAGTCATTTCCGAGGGAATCCCGGCCTGGCCCACGGGATCCACGCTCTTCCCCAGCCGCCAGAAAGCAACGCGCGCTGGGGACGGCGGCGAGCAGGGATGCTTTTGCTGTTTCCAGACGGGACGTGTTTGCCTCTAATGGAGGGCTGGAGGAATCCGAAGCTCAGCTGGGGGAAGGGGCCAGGGTCACCGCAAGGGGTTAGGACACCCAGGAGGCTGTCCCAGGTCTCCACAGTGACAGCGGGCTGCTTCGCGACCCCCGGCCTCAGTTTCTCCGTTTTTTGCAAGGCATCTGAGCCAGTCGGACTGGGTCCCGAACTCTCGAACCCTCTCGGTTCCGGGCCCTGGAGCTGCCCCGCCCACCCCGACTGTCACCCGCCTGGGGCACTTACCGCTCGGAGGGACGCCAAGCCCACCAGTCTCCGCGGGAAAGCCCTCCGCACTGTCGCCATCTTACCCAGTCTCCCGTGGCCACACCCACTGCGGCCCACGTGACAGCCGATCACTCTGGGGGCGTGATCCAGGCGTGGGGCGGAGCCTTGTGCGTGATGTAAGCTCCCAGCGTTGGCTCCACCCCCAGCCTAACTTTTCCTTCCCATCTGGTTGGTTATTCCCCACTCAGCAGAACTGATTTCCGGTTTTATGTTGATTTTGGCTTTCTGATGCTATGTAGCCCAAGCTAGCCTTGAACTTGGATATCACCCAGGTTGTCCTCGAACTCATGGCAAGCCTCCTGCCTCGGCCTCCCAGATATAGACAGGAGTGAGCCACTACATTTTGCCTATTCAGTGGTTTTCCAGGCTTCTGTTATAAAGACACAAAGTAAGGAGCAAGGAAAATAGAGACGAATAAAACTTCAGCCAGGTATGGTGACACATGCCTGCAGTCCCAGCACTCAGACGCGGAGGCCCCAAGTTTGAGGCCAGCCTGGTCTATATGACAAGGTCCAGGCCAGTCAAGGCTTCATAGAGAGGTTCTGTCTCAAAAAACCAAACTCAACCAAAGAAAAAAAAGATGGAGAAACTGTAGTGGAAGTCCCTCTTCCTGGATTTAGCATCTGAGAGGTGTGGCAAGAAACACATAGCTGTCTAATGTCTAACTTTCAAGATAAGCCCCAGCACACTTATTTACTATCGTGTTCTGAATTTTCTGCATGTATTAACTATCTGCCTGCATTTTGAAGCTACATCAGCTTCCGTGAGAAAACATCCTTTGATGGATTCGTGAAGGAGTATCCAAGTGAAGCCTTTGCCAAGTAGAAGAGACTAGAAGACTGAAAGTCTTCCCCTCCTCAGGAATTAGCAGAACTCTGGGCTGGAGAGATGACTCTGTGGGGAAAGCCATTGCTGCTCAGCACAAGGTCCTGAACTGAGGTTTCTGGTACCAGACACCAGCCCCGAATAGGGGTGCCTTTAATCCTAGCACTTGGGAGGCAGGGGCAGAAGTCTGCCTGGGCTACACGGGGAGTTCCAGGACAGCCAGGACTATAGAGAGAGGTGCTATCTCAAAGAAACAAACAAAATTTTATTTTCAAGTTCATAAAAAAAGTTTCCAGACAAATGGAATACCAATTCAGTGACCCTGAGGTAAGGAAAACTGAATGTCTAGTACAGTGTTTTCCAGTCTGCATGCCGCACCCCATTAACTGTAAGTTGCAGTAGCTACTTGGGGTTGCCAATCATTTCTGAAAATAAAGAAATAGGAAGTATCAGAGAACATTATATTAGAGTGCTAAAACAGACTGGAGAGGTGGCTCCGCAGTTAAGAACACTTGTTCCTAGTCAGGAGGTGGTGGCGCACGCCTTTAATCCCAGCACTCGGGAGGCAGAGGCAGGTGGATCTCTGTGAGTAAACCAGCCTGGCCTACAAGAGCTAGTTCCAGGACAGCCTCCAAAGCCACAGAGAAACCCTGTCTCGAAAACCCCCCCCCCAAAAGAACACTTGCTCTGGCAGAGGCCCCGAGTTCAGTGTCTCATAACCATTGTAACTCCGTGTGCAAAGGATCTGATGCTTTCTTCTGGCCCCTGCAAATCCTGCATGTCTGTGATGCACAGCATGCAAGCAAAATGCTCACACACTTAAGTCAACAAGTCGTCTTAAACTGTGGAAGCTTTGGATCTACAACATACGTCAACCAGGTTGCAAAGTAAAATTAATTTTGTAAAATTTTAAATTTTACAAAATTATTATTAATTATATGTCTCTGTCTCTGTCTCTCTCTCTCTCTTTCTCTGTGTGTGTGTGCCTGCATATGGCAATGTCCGTGTGAGTGCTGATGAATCTTTGGAGCTATAGTTACAGATGGCTGTGAGCTGCCTAGTGTGGGGGTTGAGAACTGAACCCAGGTCCTCTGGAAGAATAACAAGTGTTCTTAACCACTGAGCCATCTCTCCAGCCCAGTAAAATAAACTCAGTGTTGTGGCTAATTCCTGCAGTCTGAAATACTCAGAAGGCTGGCTGCAGATGTAGGTCTGTTGGTAGAGTGCCCGACTAACATGCAGAAAGTACAAACTGGAATGTTTAGCATGCAGGCCTCTAATCTCAGCATTCCTCCAGAGATGGAAGCAGGGGGACCAGGAGTTCAAGGTCATCCTCAGCCTCAGACAATTCCTGGCAAACCAGAATGAGCAGAAACTGTCTCACAACAACAAAGTTAGGTGTTTGAGGTTGAGGAGATGGCTTGAGGGTGAAACACAAGCATGAAGACCTAGTTTTGGGCCACAGCACCCACAAAGGATCAGGGCATGGCAGCACATACTTCTAACCCCAGTGCTGGGGGATGGGGATCCCCAGAGCTTGTTAGCCAGTTTATCTAGCCAGAATGATGAGCTCCAGGTTCAGTGGGAGACTGTGTCTCGAAAAGTAAGGTGGAAAGGAACAGATAAAAACACCTGATATTGACCTCTGGCTTCCAAATGTGCACTCATGGGCAAGAGCACCTGGGCACTCATATGTGAACACACAGGTGCACACACATTTTTAATTTCTTTCTTTCTTTCTTTCTTTCTTTCTTCCTTTCTTTCTGTCTTTTTTTTTTTTTTTTTTTTTTTTTTTTTTTTTTTT